GCTGTCAGTCAACTTTATCTTTGCTGTCAGTCAACTTTATCCTTGCTGTCAGTCAACTTTATCTTTGCTGTCAGTCAACTTTATCCTTGCTGTCAGTCAAGGTTATCCTTGCTGTCAGTCAACTTTATCCCCCTATCAGTCAACTACTTTATCTTTATTGTCAGTCAACTTTATCCTTGCTGTCAGTCAAGGTTATCCTTGCTGTCAGTCAACTTTATCCCCCTATCAGTCAACTACTTTATCTTTATTGTCAGTCAACTTTATCCTTGCTACCGAGCGAGATGCACACAAAAAGAAAGATAAAAATGATAAGTTCTGTGTAGCCGGCAGTTAGCTAGACCATGTATTTTACAACCGGTCATGTATTTTACAGCCGGTCATGTATTTTACAGCCGGTCATGTATTTTACAGCCGGTCGTGTATTTTACAGCCGGTCATGTATTTTACAGCCGGTCATGTATTTTACAGCCGGTCGTGTATTTTACAGCCGGTCCTGTATTTTACAGCCGGTCGTGTATTTTACAGCCGGTCATGTATTTTACAGCCGGTCATGTATTTTACAGCCGGTCATGTTTTTTACAGCCGGTCGTGTATTTTACAGCCGGTCATGTATTTACAGCCGGTCATGTATTTTACAGCCGGTCATGTATTTTACAGCCGGTCATGTATTTTACAGCCGGTCATGTTTTTTACAGCCGGTCAGGGATTAGTTAATGTAGCCGGCAAAGGTGTTCAGTTTTTACCATCACTTATTTTTTAAAAGCCGGGTTGTGCTGTTTTCAGCCTGTAACCGGTTCCTGTAGAATCTTTAGCCCTATACTTGTATATGTAAACCCTAGCCTTAAGGTGGGTGGGCCAACTACCTAAAAGCATTCAAAACCTTTTGATCCTTTTTATTTTGATAAAAAATCCTCTAAATTTGTATGTATTTAAAAACACTTAGTCACGTCATACTTAATCAAGTCATTAGATAAAGTAGAAAATAAACTATAAAAAAAACTTTTTAAAAACCACGTTTGTCATGTGTAGCAACGGACTAAAAAGGAGAAAATAAAATACTTAAAAAAAACTTTTTAAAAAACCACGTTTTTCTTGTGGACTAAAAAGTAGAAAATAAATTTTTCTTCCGACCCTAGGGGATCTACCAATGACTGCTCGTAGATTTTGTGCTTCCTCGAGCTGTGCAGGTTCTTGTGATGACTGTTCATACCAGTGGCGGAACTAGAAAAAATGGGCCACCCCGCAAAAAACATTTTTGGGCCCCCCCCCCATATATATATATATATATATATATATATATATATATATATATATATATATATATATATATATATATATATATATATATATATATATATATATATATATAAACACACAATACGAACAAAGGATACTCATTTCTGGCTTGATCGGGTTTTGAAAAAAAATTCAATTAAATATAATCACAACAACATGTCATGTGTATGAGTGCATTGGTCTGTTTTGAAAATCTCTGTTTTCATTTATGTTTGCCTTATTACTCCTAATCATTAAGTCGGTTAAAAGTAGATAAATCATAAAGCTTTGTATAAGTAATGGTGTCTCGTGTTATGTTTATTTTTATGTTTTTTTTTTATTTATATTATTAGTTTTAACTACATTTCATTATTATACTATACCAGGGGTTCCCAACCCCGTGCCCGCGGGCGCCATGGCGCCCGCCGAACGATTCGTATGTGCCCGCCTCTCCATAGAGACAGAATTTTTTTCATAAACATTATTGAAAGGTTGAAGGGGATAGAAATCGAAAGTTTGAGGGAGAGGGGGGATGTGCAAATCGAAAATTTGAGGGTGTGGGGGGTGCAAATCGAAGTTTGAGGGGGGTGCAAATCGAAAGTTTGAGGGGGGGGTGTAAATCGAAAGTTTGAGGGGGGGTGCAAATCGAAAGTTTTGTCCCCGGGAAGGGTCGCTACGCCTCTGGAAGGAGTTTGTCGATTTAAAATAGGTGGTGCCCGCCACCCTACCGCTATTTTAGAATGTGCTCTAGAGTAAAAAAAGGTTGGGAACCCCTGTACTATACCATTCTTTAGTACTTTTAAAAAAAAAAAAATAATTAAGATAAGTAATTGCTGTTTAATTTGATTATTACAAATCTATTAAAAGGAGCTTACGAGCACCCCTATTAGGCTGTTTGAAAAAGGGAAATAATTTATGGAAGTGGTTTGACTATCTTTCACACCAGTGGCGTAGCGAGGTCGGGTGTCACCCGGTGCGGCACTTAATGGTGTCACCCCCCCCCCCCCCCAGAGGTATAGAGACCCTTCCCAGGGACAAACTTTCAAATTTTCGATTTGCACCCCCCCCCCCCCTCAAGTTTTCGATTTGCACCCCCCCCCCCTCAAACTTTCGATTTGCACCCCCCCCCCCTCGAGTTTTTCTCTATATATTTTGCTATTTTTTGCCTTGGTGTCTCCCCCCTAAATGGTGTCACCCGGTGCGGTCCGCACCCCCCGCCCCCCCCCCCCTCGCTACGCCCCTGTTTCACACTATAGCTCATGTGTATATATTTTTTTTAATTTTTACGCAACAGCATGTCTTAGCTACTATATAAAATCACTACTGTATTATATCTGTTATCTGCTTGTTATTTACAAAACCTCTATCAAGGTGCCAGTGACGAAACTAATATATATATATATATATATATATATATATATATATATATATATATATATATATATTTATATATATATATATATATAACATACTATCATTCATGTATTTATTTGAGGCGTTTGCCTTGTTTTCTAGAACAGTGGTTATTAAATGTAAACAATGTCTGCATTTTATTTTTTGGATATTAGTTGTTGGAGCGCTAGTTTGTCTACACTACCACCGCTACGAGTCAGTTTAGTTGTTGAGGCGCTATCTATTCGCTTCTTGTAAGGCTAGAGCGGGAGGGGAGGTCTGAGAAAGGAACTTAAAAGGGACAACAAAGCACCGATGTGCTTTTATCCATCAGTACCAAATTTGGGATGTTCTCAAAAAGCCGTCTTAATATCTAGCGGTCTCTCGCGCAATTGATGTTTTTTCAAAAGAATTTTGCCGACAACAGCGTGTGTTTGATTGTAGGAAAAAGAATATACAAGAGCGTGTGATTGTGTCTATAGAATAAAGATACTCCAACCGCAGCTACAGTATTATTTTTTCATTACAACCATCAGGTCAACAATGCAAGAAAATTAATTTTAGCTTTTTAAAAAATGATTATGGGCGGCTGTGGGCCCCCTAATCGGCGTGGGCCCCCCCCCCCCCCCGCATTGCGGGGTCTGGCGGCACTGTAGTTCCGCCCCTGGTTCATACATTTGATGACAAAAAACGTGGGTCGGGCAGATTTATGATTAAGGCGAAAAGCACACAACGCACGAATTTTGGAAATTTGATGGTGAACGTACCCACGTTTTTTGTCATCAAATGTATGAACAGTCATCACAAGAACCTGCACAGCTCGAGGAAGCACAAAATCTACGAGCAGTCATTGGTAGATCCCCTAGCGTCGGAAGAAAAATTTATTTTCTACTTTTTAGTCCACAAGAAAAACGTGGTTTTTTAAAAAGTTTTTTTTAAGTATTTTATTTTTAACTTTATTTAATAACGGCAACAACAGTAGGCAACTTCCTACAGATAACCGGTCCATGTCGTCATTAGCCGGCTAATGGCGGGACGATGGGACGTCCCGAAGTCGCACTTTAAGCTAAAACGAATGTCTGTGTTAGATTTGATGACGTCAGAAGGCGCCCGCTGGGAGCAATCCTGCAGCGGTCTGTCCAGTTAGATTTACTTGGCCTGTCACCATCTCAGCCTGTTGGTCAGTGTGAAGGTTAAATGGGTATCAGGGGAGTTGTTGTTCAGGATTTTAATAGCTTTCAGTGGTCATGGGCACATATTTACTGTTTAATCATCACGCCTTTTCATCTCTTTAAAGCTTTATAATGGTTAATTTCAACACCTTAATGCTATTCTATAGTTAATTTCAACAACTCAATGCTATTCAATAGTTAATTTCACCATCTAAATGCTGTTCAATAGTTAATTTCACCATCTAAATGCTGTTCAATGGTTAATTTCAACACCTCAATGCTATTTAATGGTTAATTTCACCACCTCAATGCTATTCTATGGTTAATTTCACTAACTCAATGCTATCCAGTGGTTAATTTCACCACCTCATTTTTCATGCCATAGTCAAGCGACTGACAGAATAATTGTTTTTAGTGTATGTGCACCCATACAGTGGATTTAGCCACGGATTAGCAGACAATCCATCTGAACGTCACCCCCCCCCCCTTGTTCGCCAACACTGGCCAGGCTTAATGTTAAGTTGGCGGGTGGATTGTTGAGATTTGATGGAGAATGTTTTGTTAGCCAACAATTGCGTCTTTCTCAGTGGGGAGGGAAAATAAACAAAAAGCTTTTTGCTTCATAAACCATTTCAGAAACATTGTAAACATTATTACATTTTATGTGCACAAAATTAAAACATCAATACACATACTATAGTTTTTCACAAAATTATAGTTTTCACATGATAATTATTACAAAGTTTACAAAATATAAATTACATGTTGTAATATGTATTTTAAAAACAACAAGTTCAGTAATAAAAACAGAAGTTATGCATAGATCTAAAGTTGCGGCTGGGTGTAGATGAAGTGGAGTTCATCTGTTCTATTAACCTTAACATTAAGATAATTTTATCTCCATTTCGACTCGATGTTCGATAAATAACAGTCATATTGTTGAGTTAGGATTTGAACTCTAGCCTTGAGTATTAGCTAGCCTGTACTCTGTCAGGCCATACCCATGATAGAAAACATCACCCGGAACATTGGGTTAGAGCTTATTATGTCCCTTATTGCTGAAACTCAATTATGTTTGTTTCTTGTCTCCTCTTACAGAAAATTCGTGAAAACAGATCCTTGAACTTGGCGTACAAATTGTCTAAGCTCTGGAGCTAAACGTTGAAGGAGCTGCCCCAAGCTTAAGCTGCCATGACGTGTAGTCTACAGACAGTGAGCCAACCCTGGTAGAGCCGGTGCCATGTACCTGGACGTCGGCACCAACTGGACCTCCGTGGACGTCCAGCCGCTGACCAACACCTCGCCGTGTGTCTGCAAGTACCGGCATGACGACGTGCCGGAGCCGGATCTCAACGGCTCCTGGCCGCAGCAGGAGATGTCAGCCCTGCACGTGCTGGGCGACGCCTACTCCTCCCTCCACGGCGTCATCAGCCTCATCGTCTGCGCGTTCGGGATTCCGATGAACGTGCTCAACATCACCGTGCTCACGCGCAAGCACATGCGCACGCCGGTCAACTGCATCCTCACCTGGCTGGCCGTGTTCGACCTGCTGACCATGGTCTCCTACGTGCCCTTCTCGCTGCATTTCTACTGCCTTACTACGTCATACGACCGCTCGGGAAGAAACTCCTGGGGTAAGTCACCTCGACCTTGGTGTGGTATTTGGTCCTGACCTTGGTGTTATATTTCACCTTGACCTTGGTGTGATGTTTCACTTTGACTTTGTTGTGTTTCATCTTGAACTTGGTGTGATATTTCACCTTGACCTTGTTATGATATTTCACCTTGACCTTGGTGTGGTATTTCACATTGACCCTGGTGTGATATTTCACCTTGACCTTGGTGGGCCCTTTCACCGTGACATTGTGTGTAATTACAAATGATTATATTTTAGGTGCGTATCATAAGCTTTAGAGAAATAAAATGTAAGCTAATTACTTTTTTAATTAAGTGACAACGTTCATTTCCTGACTCTACTTTCATTAGAAGCCTAGCCCAAGCGACCTGACATTCCCAAGACTTCTCTACATACAATGTCTTGTCTTAGATATTCTCACCTTTAACTAATTTTTTAGTCCTTGTATAGAGACAAGAATTTTTTAGTCCTTTAATAGCTCCAGAAATATCTAACTAGCCTCGTTACCGACCTCTCTAAAGCACCACACGACTAGAAACGTGATAAAAAGGTATTATATTTTACCAGATGAACCAAACATCAAAACCCGAAAATTTAATAAATGAAATATTTTTGTATTTCTGATATTTCGATTTGCTTTCTTTTTAAATAATTAGTCGACATATTTTTTAAACGATTTACAATAACATTTCAGGATAGTTGTAATAGCTGTATTTGGACCCAGCTGCCTATAAGACTGAAGATACACTGTTCATCTGTTCCTATGACCTCATCTCATATAGGGATAGTGTGGTTTTTTCAACGCCTAGACGCGTTTACTTTCTCCAACTAGCCAGGTACCCATCACAGCTGGGTGGACTCCGAACTCGAGGTTTTTGGGTTAGCTGTCTTGCGCTCTACTTTCTGACCACGCCGTCCCTTCAAATAAGGCTCAAGTCACGAAGAAATGACGGCGCAATGACATGTGTTCAGTCCTGTAATGAAATGTGTTCTCGCACACCGCTTCCACCTGACAGAGCCTTGTGCAGTCACTCACTAAAAGAACAGTGTGATTCTCTTGATAGCCCAGAAAAACTTGTCAAATAAACAGTTGTAAAAAATGCTTCGGTCTTGAGTTTAAAGATAAAATTTTACTTTTTTAAGTATCAGTGCTAAGAGTAATTTTAAAATCTACAGACGAAATCTTATAAGTAGCAGTAATTTTTAAGATGGCTCATTTGCTCGGATAGAGAAAGGTTTAAAGCCATCTCCTTAGAATATCATAGCAACATACACACACACACACCAAACACCGCACAGCATATACCAACACACACACACATACAGTTTCCCCCCCCCCCCCCCCCTAACTGCAATCCCGCAATACTTGCCTTGCCTTAGAAAACTAATTTTTTTTTTCAATTTACAAAACTGATTCAGCCGTTAAATTGTTTGCACTAGTCGAGTATCTTTAGAATATCTGGGAGTATTTTCCAAAATTTGACACAAAAACGGATTCTAATTTCCGGTTATTTAATATTTTTTCCTGCCTTTTGTATTGAAGCTAGTGAAACGTGTTTTGTTTCCCAAATTATTTTAAAAACTGGGGTTTGAGATGGTTGTTATGTCACATGGTCAGTAGACCAGTGCTAGAAAAGCTTGCAAGTATGTTGGACATGTTGGACATGGCCTAGTATCCACTGGGAGTTGAAAAGGCGAATGCTGGTCATCCTACAACCGCCTCCTAGACTACTGTAGATAAAACTATCAGAAAAAATCGCAGCTTGATCGAAAAGCCTCGAGTTCGAACACCCAGGCAGATGAGGCTGGGGACAGCAACTCATCTAAATGAGAAAACTCCCAAGGCAAACAACAGCTGCCTTGTAGTTTGATCTTGAATGGACAAACGCTTCGGAAGCAATGACGGGAGCCGTTTTGTCGGGAGTTGTAGTAGCGGGAGCCGTTTTGTCGGGAGCCTGAATGACTGGAGCCTATTAGTCGGGAGCCTATATGAGGGATCTTATTTGTCGAGAGCCATTAAGACGGAGCCTATTAGTCCGGAGCCTAAATGAAATACCTTCCAACATTACAATTAAGATAGGAGAAGACTTTTTTAAAAACTTTTTTTTATGTGCCTTCCCTCAAAGATCTTAAAACTTCTGTAGAGCTTTGTGCCTTCCCTCAAAGATCTTAAAACTGCTGTAGAGCTATGTGCCTTCCCTCAAAGATCGACCTGGCTAGTGGAGAAGAGAGCCCATAAATTTTAACCCTCTACCACACCTAGGAGCAGACACTTAACCCTTTAGATCCACAGACAGCCAACAATATAATAAATTACCCCGACTGGAGCCAATTTGTGGGGAGCTGGGGAGCAAAGGGTTAACGACAGCTGACCCGGTGTGTAGGAGGGTCAAGTGAATTAACTCAAGAGTTACTGGGAGTTTACGTCTGGCCGGTAGAGAGTTAATACCACGTGACATTTCGAACCAATCTTTTTGCTGGTCTGTAGATTTACTGTCGGTCTGACATGTATATATGTGTGTATGTGTGTGTGCGTGTGTATATGTATGTATTCAGAAATATGTGATTAGTGAAATATTGTGCGATGTTGATTGGATAATTTTCTCTCTACATTTCAGGCTGGATGACGTTCCTCATCTTTCACGTGAACATCACGTCAACAACACACACCATCAGCATCTGGCTAGGCGTCACGTTGGCGATGTTTAGGTAAGGGTGTGTATGTGTGTGTGTGTGTGTGTGTGTGTGGATGTGACTGTATGTATGACTGTGTGTGTGACTATGTGTGTGCGACTGTGTGTGTATGGCTGTGTGTGTGCTAGTGTGTGTGTATGACTCTGTGTGTGACTGTGTGTGTGAGTTTATGTGTGTGTGACTGTATGTGTGACTGTGTGTGTGTGCGTGTGTGGCTGTGTGTATGACTGTGTGCGACTGTGTGTACGTGTGAGACTGTGTGTGACTGTGTGTGCGTGTGTGTATGTGTGTATGTGCGTGCGTGTGTATGCCTAGTTGTTTTGTTTCGGGTCATTGTGTGTATGTGATGTGTGTATGATAGTGGGTAGTTATATTCATATTTTGAAGAATTTAGACATCTGTTTAGTGGATACAACAGTACAATGTTAATGTACCCAAACTCCTCTAATTATTTTTTTATCACGTCATTTTACCGAAAAAAATAAACAAAAGACATAAAGTACGACAGTCAATAGTTTGTCCCTTATCAATATTGAACAAGGGCGGATAATAAAAGAGGTATAAAGGGGAGATAAAACATCTCTAATCACCAACCAACAGCAGGAAGTCTCGACAGTCACCACGTTTGTTGCGGCAAATTGATGACAAATTTCGTTATCATACAGACACGCCAACGTGCCGGACGTCCGGCTCCGTACGGCCGGCTCCGTACGGCAATCCAAGTTGTACTAGCACACAAACCCGTCAGAAAACCGGTCGAGTCCAAATTGTGTTTGCCGCTTTAAAAACACACTCGCTAATGCGCGTGTTTTTCCCTGCAACTCTCAAGGTTTCAGTCGGTGTTTGACTAATGTGGTTATTTGCCCGGATGTTGTAGCACTATGCACAATTACTGTTGGTGATGGCGTTGTTCCGGGTTCCAGGAGTAGGCTGCTTGCACTTCTGGGAGCGGTAGATGTTAACAAGTTAAAGTTGACGCCTAGCTGTGGGCCAACTGTTGAGTGTGGGCCAACTGTTGACTCTAGCTGTGTGCCAACTGTTGAGTGTGGGCCAACTGTTCACTCTAGCTGTGGGCCAACTGTTGACTGTGGTCCAACCGTTGACTCCAGTTGTGGGCCAATCATCGTCACTGTTGTATGTGACTGTGCGTGTTTATGTGCGTGAGTGTGTACGCCTAGTCGCTTTGTTTCGGGTCATTGTATGTGACATAAATGGCTACTAAAATTTCAAAAGCAAGAATATAACAGCATATAACAGCCCGGAGTTCTGAAACCATAAATTACTCCAAACAAAACCCTAATTCTTAACAAAGCCACAACCCTATACTTAACAAAACCCTAACCCGTAATAATTAAAAAAAACGCCATTTACGAAAACCTAACCCTTATCAAAACCCTAGCCATCAAACAAAACCCTAACCATTATCAAAACCCTAGCCATCAAACAAAAGCCTAACTCTCTAGCCATCAAACAAAAGCCTAACTCTCTAGCCATCAAACAAAACCCTAACCATTATCAAAACCCTAGCCATCAAACAAAAGCCTAACTCTCTAGCCATCAAACAAAAGCCTAACTCTCTAGCCATCAAACAAAAGCCTAACTCTCTAGCCATCAAACAAAAGTCTAACTCTCTAGCCATCAAACAAAAGTCTAACTCTCTAGCCATCAAACAAAACCCTAACCATTATCAAAACCCTAGCCATCAAACAAAAGCCTAACTCTCTAGCCATCAAACAAAAGCCTAACTCTCTAGCCATCAAACAAAAGCCTAACTCTCTAGCCATCAAACAAAAGCCTAACTCTCTAGCCATCAAACAAAAGCCTAACTCTCTAGCCATCAAACAAAACCCTAACCATTATCAAAACCCTAGCCATCAAACAAAACCCTAACTCTCTAGCCATCAAACAAAAGCCTAACTCTCTAGCCATCAAACAAAACCCTAACTCTCTAGCCATCAAACAAAAGCCTAGCTCCAAATCTGCAACTTCAAACATCCCCAAACAAATCTCTGGATCTACAAGGACCTTAAGACAGGTCTGGAACCTCACACATCATACTTCTAATTGTCACGCCTTACTTAATGAGCTTAAAACTAACTATACCGATTTGGTTGTCATGTTTTTCTTACACCATCCCGAGGTGTCAAGTTCCGCTTAAATTATCTCCGGTCTACTAAACAAATACCAAACGTATCCGGTTCTTCTAAAATGTCGGCTCTAAAATTTCTAATATTTTAGTTCGGCATCCGGTTTCTAAATCAGTGCTTCTTAAAATATTTATGTCTAGCTCTTCAATTAGCGGTTGTTTAGTTTATGCTTAAACACGAGGAAAAAAATATGTTTGTTTTATTTCAATGTGGTTTGTGTTTCAGTTTAGTTTGACAACGAAAGATCCGTTGATTAACACTCATATGTGTCTTGGCGTAGAAAATGTGAGACAAAAATTATTTGTATTGAATATCCGTGTCAGAAACGTACATCCTAAGTGGAAATTGATATTGTCATAGATCCCCCCGACTTCCCCACCCTCCATAAACCCCATGAAATACGGCGTAAAAATGTCACGAAGCTAGTTTGTTGTAGAATTTACTTTCAATACAAGTTTTTTAACTGGACATTTAAATTTTTAATCCACTCGTATATCCGTTAAAATGTTTTCTTCTTAAATGTTAATCCCTTAAACATCCAAACCGTTAATCCCTAATATTTCCAACTCATAAAATTAATCGAGCTGTTTGTCTGGGAAACTGGGGGGGGGGGGGGGGCTCACACCTGAAGTTAATAGAGATAAATATTTTGCTCTAGTACCGCCATCTATTATAATATTCTTCTACATCAAATTGTTTTGGCTTTCTGTGGGTTGATGGGTGGGTTTGTTTTCAAATTGTGCAACCCAGTTTAATCCCCGTTCTGAAACATCAATTTCCTTCACAACTTCAAAATGAATTCGTTTCCGATGACACCGTAAGAATCTCTAATTTTAACCTACTTACTTTTTAAAATGGTCACATAAAATAATTAAGATAATTACTAAAAATCTGGAGATTTTAGGATCAAGTATTATCAATCGCTGGTCAGTCAGGCCACTGAGGTGAACTGTTGTTCAACTCTTGTTTAGCCGACTCAGCAGATTATTGTCCTGTAGAGTTAAGATTGACGTAAGCGACTGACCGAATTATTAAGCAAATGTTTTAGTCATGTGGGCTATCTGCTTAAATTAAAAGCCAAGAAATGGAACATATAAATATGAAACTAATAGTAAGTAGTATATGTGTAGTTGAGTATGAACTGACCTACTTATCGCGTCATATTGGGGGTGGGGGAGGTGTTTACTTTTTTAGATGACGTGTGGCCACGTTGGGTGGGGGGGGGGAGAATATTTGCTCCGATTGCATGACATCATGTAGGAATTACCTCCCTTATACGTTACATAGAAGAATTAGTTTTGACATCCGAGCTTTGTCATAATTTTTTACCTAAAAAAAATATTCCCATTTTCTCGAAAAAAATTTTTTCTGGAGCAATGTCTCAGTTTCAACAGACTTTTTTGTTCTGTTGAAATGTTTTGTAGAAATATTAAACTTTCTATAATGAGAACTTTTTTTTTGTGAGTGTGTTAAGAAAATTGATTTTCAAAAAACCTTCTGTTGCAGACCCTACATTCTCCCAAAACGATGTCTTTTTTTTTTTTTTTTTTGCTGCAAATTTTATCGACAAAAATATTCGTGTCAGTAAATTTCATACAGGCTGTGGATACATGAATAATAAATGACGCTTCAATGCTAGCACGTGCATAGAGCGGTGAGGGCAAGTTTTGCGACAAACATGGGCCATTAGAAACATTTCGGAATATTTAATCACATTTTTTATAAAACTTGACGTAATGAACACAAATTTAACGAAACAAAAGCGACGGTAAGAGGAAGCTCCGAGAACAGAAAGGTTATTTTAGGCGGCAAATATGGCTGCCTACAGACGCAGTAAACAAAAATAGGGCGCTCGACAGACGGCTAAAACAGAAAGGGCGGATAACAAACATACCTAGTTAAATAAAGTTTTCCGAAAATGATTTTAATCTGAATAAATTGTGTGTGTTCTGGTGGAAAGATCGTCCTACTTCTGTGGGCAGCAGATGGAATTGGTTTCATCAGAAAATGTATGTTAGGTGGGGACGGGGGGGGGGGGGGTGGAACGTGAGAAACTGTATAAAAGGGAAGCCTTAAATGGCATCATGTAATTATACATCTGTAGGCCCAATTTACATGGATTTAAATTAGGAAAAATGTGTTCTTTTCATTAAGTGGGTATTTGTCGTATTAAAGTATCATTAGGAAAAAAATCAAGAAAAAAACTAAACTTTATTGTGCTTTGGCATTTTTCTTCAACTATTCAAGGGTTAAATTTATAATTATAGTTAAGTCAACAAAAATCTTTTTAGCGCCGGAAAATTATTAATTTATTTAGAAAAACACACGTCGATATTAACTGTCGAGATGTTGTAACGACAACTTAAAAACAGTTTGTTAGAGTTTAGAAGGGATATTTAAAATCAGTAAACATTGAATGGAACATTGTATTCTTTTTTTTGGTATTTTCAATGCAAAATAACAATCATGCTTAAATGTTCTTATTCTTACTGTCTTGTTTCATTTTCTAATGCAGGTTTTGTAATTAGGAAAAAAATTGTAATTGATGGAAAATTTAGATATGATTGATCGGTTGTTCCAAAAACACCATTGATATTCTAGTAAGTTTCCCTTTCAAACCTGGCGGTCTATGGGGCAAGTGCAGTAGAGTTCATTTGTTTCTGTGACCTCGGCATATGATGTGATAGTGTAGTCAGCACTATACCCAGCCGCCTTTACTCTTCCTAACGTGAGTTAGGTACCCATCAGACTCAGGAAAGGTCTACTGACTTGAACCCGGATATAATATTCTAGTAGTTGCCTTTATATTTTTAGTAAGCTTATGTAAGATAACACTTTAACTAATCAAACAGTTATTTTGTTATTTGGTTTAAGAAAAATGTATTACTTTAAAAAATAATCTCAACTCTTCATGCAGAAACAAATAGCTCATTTATTTTGCGAAGCTAACGAAGTGAAAAATGTATGGGAAATTTTTAAATCAGTGTGTGGACAGCGGTCAGCCAGTCAGACAGCTTTTGACAGACCATCACTAGATGTAGGGGTGGGGAGAGTGGGGACGGAATCAGCTGACTAGTGATTGTTTATTAAACGAAGAAGGGGAGACCAATCAATAAGATTGTTGTTTCTTTTTCATCAAACACGCGATGTACTGGCTACATTGATCCCCTCCACACACACACACACATACACACACCACACACACTCACCCCCCCACACACACCACACACTCACCCCCCCCCACACACACACATACACACCACACACACTCACCCCCCCACACACACACCCACACCCACACACATACACACCACACACACTCACCCCCACACACACACACTACACACTCACCCCCCCCACACACACACATACACACCACACACACTCATCCCCACACACACACACCCACACCCACACACACACACCCACACACATACACACCACACACACTCACCCCCCCCCCCCACATACACACACATATACACCACACACACTCACCACCCCCCACACACACACCACACCCACACACACACCACACACACACTAGACACACACCACACACACACACCACACACACACCACACACACACACCCAGCGGCGTCCTTAAAACACTAATTTATGTCTAGTGGGTCTTTGACTAGGAAAACAAGTGTTAAAAATTTGAAAGCGTGGGCGAACTTAATTAATTTAATCTGCAACCCGAGTTTTCTGCCCTTAGACATGAAAATCATGTGTTTTAATGACGTGGATAGAGGGGGGGGCACCGCGCCCTGGTTTCGTGTTTCTGTTGTTTGCACTTGATCGATGGGGGAGGGGGCTACATAGGGGTTTATCGAAACTGTTGGAACCTATGTTGTAGAGAAAACTCTAAAAAAAAATCCATAGAAGCCAGTAGCGTGCGGGGGGGGGGGGGGGACATATGTCCCCGGGCGCCGATCTTAGGGGGCGCCAAAATGGGTTGGAAAAATAAATTGAAAGGTCGAGGGGGGTGCAAATCGAAAGTTTGAGGGGGGAGGGGGGTGTGCAAATCGAAATCTTAAGGGGGGTGCAAATTGAAAAGTTTGTCCCCGGGCGCCGGGAAGGGTCGCTACGCCTCTGATAGAAGCGTCTTTAGCTAATTTATACGCCCAATTCTTTTTTTTATCATTATTCTCTTTAAAGAAATTTAATTCAACGACACAAATATCTTATGTTTTATTTTTCAACCAGCACGAAAAGAACCCGTAACTTAACTACATACGTGTTATGATAAATCTATTTTCAAAACATTTTGTTTTTTATTGTCTCCCCTACGCGATGCCAGATGGTTGCCATTGTAATTTGCATGCTAATATTTTCACGAAATGACTGCTATAAAACGATGTCATATTTTTAAGTCTAAATGCTCCGTCCCCCCCCCCCCCCCTTCTTTGTAACATTAGTTATTGTCTGAAAGTTTCAGTTATGGAACTATTGTTTCTGTTTAAAAATGTATTTTTTTAAATCTGATTACCCCCCTTACACGACAACTGACAGCTTGATTTGTCTCCCCCAGATACAAACACATCTTCTCACCTGCCAAAGGTCACATCACGCGCGTGCGACGACTCATACGGGCCAGGATCGCCGTGTTTGTCGTGGTGGTCGTGTCCATACTGGTCATGATCCCCAACTACATGATGAACAAGATCATCCCACACCAGGTCACGGATCCAGGTAGGTCAACACCTGTGTCTTGTGGTCTACGAGTTTGTCTGTCGTACCTATAAGGCCAACCTCCTTCTCGTGTGGTCTACAAATGTGTCTGTTCAGGTAAAGTCAACTACCTTTGTCATATGGTCTACAAGTTTGTCTGTCCCGGTAAGGCCAACCACCTTCTCAAGTGGTCTACAAGTTTGTCGGTCTGTCCTATTAGGCCAACTATTTTCTCGTGTAGTGAAAAAATGTAACTGGCAAGAACTAGAGTTTACAACCCATATACTAGATGTACAGCTACACTGTGTTAACCAGCGCAGTCTACACCATACTGAGAATCCTTGATCAAGACTTGTCTCTAGTAGTAACCTCTATACGGGTTCATTGTATTTTCCATGATATCGGTGATAGACGATTTTCCTATTACAAAGCCATCCTTGAAGTCTTGAAGACCAAACTGGTGGGGTATTTCATTTTGAGTTTTATTACAAGACACTAGGAAAATGCTATCATTAAAGTTCCCCAACAACTTAATACTGTTGTTTTCAGTTATCACTAGCGCTTTCATCTTGTTGAAATTGATCAAAGATAAATTCTCGTACAAACATATCACATTTTTAGAAAACACTTTGAAATAAACATTTTTTTTTTAAATGTATAATTATAAAAAAAATCTTGACGTACTTTCTTCGTCACGTATTTTTTAATTTCTCGAAACTACTTTACAAAATGTATTTCAGGAATGTCGAAACCCTTTTAATGCCATGTCTTAAAAGAACTCCATTGTGTTTTTAAAAACCCTAATTACGTAAAAGCCACAAACAAAAAGAAACGATTATACAACCAGTATTTTTTGTGTTACGAAGTTTCCCTTCTCTTACATAATGGACTTTTGTTTTCTGTGGGGTTTGTTGGAGCTTGGTTTAACCATCTTTTCGTACCGAAATAGATCCGGTAATTCCCGGTTTATTTATAGTGTCTCATTATTGTGGAATTGAGTTCACTAAGGAGAGCTGTGGCCTTTTGTTGTTTTGAAGAGCAATACATTTAAAGACTTCGTGTTATTTTGATTCTGTAAATTTTTAGGAGTGGCGGAATTATTTTCGCCAAATTTCGGAAATTCTTGGACTAATAAATACATACTATACGGATTCGTAAAAAAAGACTTAAGAATGTATGGAAGTTTCGTCGAAATATTTCATGGTATGGCGTTTCATCGAGACCTCAACATTGAGGGAGGTGGGGTAGGGTCATTTGTGAGGGGAGGGAAATTGGATCAATTGGTGAGTTAATGGTAGTTGGTGGGGGGGGGGGGGAGAGAAAATATGAGTCTGTAGAGTAGATTGTGGAGATTGGCGAAACAAGGGAAGTAAGTTACATAACAAAATAAGCTCCTTGGGAATTTCTAGAAGATTCTACGTTCGTGCAAACCTCAGTTCGTTGGCGGTTTTTAGAAGTTAATCACCGAAGTCTTAATTAATGAGAACTAATCCCCTTTGTGTAACAGGATTGCAGATTTGACACGGCGCGAATAAAATCTCTCGTCTTTTTCTCCATTCTTAGCTTACCGTTTTTTTTTTTCCACTAATGACAACGTCAGGCATTTGTTTTGTATCACGCACATCGATGCTGAGTCGGCGACTTAAGGCCCACGACTGATGTCATTGGGGTGCATGCTGGTGCTATCATTAGCTGCACGTCGTGATGTTTTGATTAGTCCCGTGGTGAGCAACTGGGACACTTAGATCGCATGACTGTCTGGGGAATATATTATCGCGGGGAGGATATCACGGTCAACTTGGTCTAAAATGTGAACCTTGGGTTGTCGGACACTGGTGGGCGGTCCGCTAAGTGTGACGGTGCTTTAATGCAGGCCCACAATTATAGTGGTCTATTATTTGCAAGCATCTTACTGATATTCATTTTTTAATATATTTGTTTTTGGAAGCGGGAGGGAGTGGGGGATATGATACTTGTTGTCTACGGTCATATAAGACAGACAAAACTCAAAATAGTGCGGAAATATGTTCTTTTTACATTTGAGTCAGTGTTATTTTTTTTATTTATAGCAAGGATTATTGTTTTCTGTGGGTAGTAAGGGTTATTTTTTTATATTTACACATGAATTTAGGGTTCTTTATATATATATATATATATATATATATATATATATATATATATATATATATATATATATATATATATATATATATATATATATATATATATAGTCAAAACTATAGCTTGAGGGTGTGGACAGTGGCCGTGTAGATCATATCCATCCCCAACCTTTATTTTTGAAAAATCGGTTATTTTCCATAACGTTGGGAGCATTTTGATGCTACTTTTGACCCTAACAGGAATACCAGGGAAAAAAAACTATACGGTACTGTATTGTCCAGTCGGTTCTATACCATCTAACCCAGTTTTACATTGAAATGTATAATCCAGGGGTTTTTCCTTATTTTTTTAACCACCGATCCGGTCCCCCACCCCCTCCTGTTCTCTCCCCCACTCTCCTTCAATAATTTCCGCCTACGATCCATTCTCCCGTCGCGAATGGCGGAAGTAGATCTATTAATAGATCAGAGCGACTTGCGCGCGTACGCTGTGAAACCTAAAAGCCGTATTTTGTATTGTGAACCATTGCGTGTAGGTTTAAAATGTAGCCAAGGGGGGTAAGAGAGTTTTGGTGTCGTCACGCAAACACCATACGCCCATAAGGTCCTATCACGTGTGCTGTATTGATCTACTAGAAACGTGGCTTTATCTGCTGTCTAGTTTTGTATCTATGGCTAACTCCACTACAACAATAGGTTTTTGTATGAGTGACAAGCATGACGGGTAGGGATAGATAACTAACTAACTATGCACCAAGTTGAGTGATGGCATATTTTTTCTTCTCTATACTATAAAGTAGCTTATACAATCTATTCTGTCACATCTCTGTTTAAAAGAAAAAGTCTATAGGTACCAAATACACAGTATGGGGTTGTTTTTTATTCATATAGTGTGCATACTTTATACTATGTTTGTATGTGTATTATAAACTAAACAAAATTACTTTTTTAAAGCAATAATTGGAAATCAAACACATGTACCATCAAAATGCATGTGAGGATAAAAAGTAATTAATATTTAATGTACGGAAGGTGATGAAACATGATTTAGTGAAAACTTAAGGATAAAAGTAAAACTACTATACTTTATTTTAATGCGATTTGTTTAATGCAGAGGTTCCTAACTTTTTGATCAACTTAATATACATACATATATATATATATATATATATATATATATATATATATATATATATATATATATATATATATATATATAATATCCTAATCTGTGTTAGCAGTCAAGAGAATGGAAGAAAGAGAGAAAAAAGATTACTTTTTTTTACTACCAATGGAGCTGAGCGATGATTATTTGTTTTTCAAATATCAAGATCGATGATTTCTTTCAGAAATAATTGTTTTAACATTCATCATATATGATTTCTCTAAAAATAAACATTTTGACCAAACATGAACTCTGACCTCTGTCCACAGAAACCAACGTGACCAACGTGATCTTTGTCACGGAGAACCTGAACCTCGGCACGGAGGACGTTGAACTCGTGACGCAGGTGAACCTCTGGCTCCACAGCGCCCTGGCCAAGTTCCTGCCCTGCATCCTGATGGTGGTGTACGGCGGGCTGCTGGTCAAGACGCTCCGGACCAACATCCGCATGCTCAACAGGAGCAGCACGACCCGGACCTCGGACTCCTTCTTCCCGGCGTGCCCGGCTGATGCCTCTCCTGATCGGCCGTCTAGGCAGGGGGAGAATTTCCTTACCCAGCATTCCGTGGAGAGGAAAGGCTCAAAGAAAAACAACCACAACAGTCGGGAGGGTAGACCTGAACACGAGGACTTCCTGTGTTTAAACTGCCAGAACCAGAGGCTCAGCCAGCAGGAGCAGAGCCAGCAGACGACCACAACAGTCGTGTTCATGCCTTCAAGCTCGCCCAGCGTCACCACAAAACGCGCCTCCTCCAGCCCTCTCGCGACCACCAGACGACAGAGCCGTCACCACGACAACTCCCGAACAACACGGATGCTCCTCATCGTCATCACGCTATTTTTAGTAACGGAACTTCCCCAAGCTATTCTTATCGTACTCTCCGCGACGATTCCAAACTTTTTTCAAGAGGTTTATCTGCCCCTGGGCGACATCATGGACGTCGTTGCTCTCATCAACAACGGCATCAACTTCCTGCTCTACTGCATCATGTCCAGGGACTTCCGCACGACGCTGTTGGACATGATGAAGTCCACGATGAACAACGCCAGCAAAGTGCCCGGGAAAATCACCACCACATTCTATCGACCGACAGCCACCGTCTTCGACCGAAGTGAGCGATCTCACGCGACTCTCATAGTTCGAGCCAAAGAATTATCATCGTGACTCTAGAAGATCTGGTGTGAGACATATTTCAGACCTTTACTTTTCGTCATTTGTGCTGTTGTTTTAAACTATGGATTTCTTCCAATCAACCTAGTCTGACGACATTGGTTCCCATGGCAACAACATTATTTTCATAAGAGACATGTCTCGAATGTCAACATGGGAGAGGAAACTCTAGTAAAATTATATTTGCTAAAACTTGTTTTTTATCTGTACACATGTTTAATTAAAATGAGCATTGGTTGATATAATACCATTAGACCAACTGTTCTATGTAAATTCTGGTTTAATCGATGTGTGTCTGGTTTTTACTTTCTCGTTATATATTGTTTCAGACTATTTATAACGAGGGACGATATCTGTGTATCATGTACGTACCCTGTTGTTAATCTCAAAACCTAAAATAAAAAACAGGGCACGAAACAATTATTTTAAATGTGCTCCTCTGTTCCTTTTTAATTATGAGATGTTCTATACAGACCTGTTCCAACATGAAGAAAAGGGAACGATTTTTATAGCAGCTGCTGAATTTGAAAATGATGTTTCAGGGCGAGGGCCGGGGGGTGGGGAGAGAGGCATAGGTCTATAGGCTATGGGTTAAGGCTAAAGGTTGTACAATCCGATATTGGAACGTCAAGAATAAAGCAATAAGCAATATTAACAGTTCAATGTATAACTAAGCGGTGTCTTGATATTACAGTCAATAAGACAGTCAATAAGCCTATATAATGTGTTGTGATATATATATATATATATATATATATATATATATATATATATATATATATATATATATATATATATATATATATATATATATACCAAGCGATAGGCCCACTCAATACGCATCTGATTTTTTTATATCTTACTAATGAACTGATGTAGGCTAATAAAAAGCGACCAAAAATAATGCTAATGTGATATTTTCGTGCGGCGTCAATTCGGCCAATGACGAAACGGCCCCGTCAAAACGACCCCGACAAAACGACCCCGTCAAAACGACCCCGTCAAATCGGCCCCGTCAAAAGGACCAGCGACATATGGACCCCGTCATATAGGCTCCCGACAAATAGACTCCCGTCATTTAGGCTACCGACAAATAGGCTCCCGTTATATAGGCTCCCGACAAAAGGGCTCCAGTCAATAAGGCTCCTGACTAATAGGCTCCCGTCATTTTGGCTCCCGACATATAGTCTCCCGTCATTTAGTTTTTTCCACAAAACGGCCCCCGTCATTACGACTCCCGACAAATAGGCTCCCGCCATTTAGTTTCTCCATAAAACGGCCCCCGTCATTACGACTCCCGACAAATAGGCTAGCGTCATTTTGGCTCCCGACAAAAAGGCTCCTGTCAATTTGGCTCCAGACAAAAGGACCACTGACACAGTGGCGTAGCTACCTTCGGGGGGGTTGTTTCGGCAGTGGGATTCAGTGTTTGTGGGTCAAACAGAGCCCAATCGTTATAATAACACTACAGGCTATATCACTTTGTCGTGCAAGACATTGAGAGAATCAGCCTATAAATAAACTTTTTAGCAGTAGTAGGCAAGCTTAATAATATAGTATAAATACAAAATCAGGACATATAAAATACAAAATGTTGCCTTCATAATATTTATATATTAAAAAATATCCATCGTAAGTAGAAGTTGATCTCTTCGTTTAACTCCTCTGTAGCCTAACGCAGAGGCGTAGCGAAGGCGAGGCGGGGGGTGCGGACCGCAACGGGTGACACCATTTAGGGGGGGGGGGGGTGACACCAAAGGCAAAAAATTGTAAAATTTATAGAATGAAATGCCATTTTCCAGATCCATTAGTTAAAGTTAAATAGTCTTCTAAGTACAAATCGAAAATTATATCAAGAGGGGGGGGGGGGGGTGTGTGACACCACGACGTAAACGTAAACTATAAAGAAAACAATGCTACATCCAACTGTATTATAAACAGACTGTAGATAAACGTCGTTACTATTAAGTCTGCAGTGATTATAGCTTTAACACGTACGTGTACCAGTATGTGGCATATATATAAATTTTAGGCCTATGTAGGCCGACACACACACACACACACATATATATATATATATATATATATATATATATATATATATATATATATATATATATATATATATATGTGTGTGTGTGTGTGTGTGTGTGTGCTTTGTTTCCTGGGAGGGGGGTGACAATACGAAGTGCCGCACCGGGTGAGACCCGACCTAGCGACGCCACTGGCCTAACGGCTGACGAAGGGGCCCACTGATAATTTTTGCATAGGGGCCCAAAAATCCTAGCTACGCCACTGCACTGACAATACCGTTTCTGTAGAGACTAAGTCTCCCGGCAAAGCGGTCTCATTGAATATGACATCTGCCAGTGGGACCCCTTCATCAATATTCTTTAGAGTTAGCTTATCCAACACTCTTATGTAATACAACGTATGCATCTCTTGTTCGGCAGGCCTTATTTTTATATTAGTTTATCTATTATAAAATATAGTATGTTTTAATTTAAGGGTCATCTATCTATGACATCCATAATTGAGTCGGTTATAGGCTGTTCCAACTCATTGTGTGGGGAGAAGGGTCCACGCTCTACCTTCCTAACTGCAATATTCTTGTACAGGGGCATAGCGAGGGGGGGCGGGGGTGCGGACCGCACCGGGTGACACCATTTAGGGGGGTGACACAAAGGCAAAAAATAGCAAAATATACAGAGAAAAAGTTGAGGGGGTGGGGTGCAAATCGAAAGTTTGGGGGGGGGGGGGGGGGGGGTTGCAAATCGAAAACTTGAAAGTTTGTCCCCGGGAAGGGTCGCAACGCCTCTGGGGGGGGGGGGGGTGACACCATTAAGTGCCGCACCGGGTGACACCCGACCTCGCTACGCCACTGTGCTTGTAGGTTATCAAAACAAAATGCTGTTATCATGTTAACATCATGTATATCATACATTTACACTTCTGTGCTCGCTTTTAAGCAACAGATCTTTTCTGTTGTAAATTAAACATTATCAAAACTTTAGAATTGGTGGAATTTAGCTGTTAAGGGCTCGATTTGTTTGTGAATTAATGTTGGTTCATGAAAAAATAATTTCATTCGGGCATTAAAAAGAAGTTATGGTGGTATTGGAGGTAGGACACAATGGTTACTTTTATGCCAATAGTGGTCATATCATTCATTTTTCTGGAGCCAATATGTCGGGAGTCATTTTGTCAAAAGCCAATATGTCGGGAGCCCAATTGCCGGGAGCCAATATGTCGGGAGCCCATTTGTCGGTAGCCAAAATGTCGTGAGCCCATTTGCCGGGAGCCCATTTGTCTTGAGCCCTTATGTCGGGAGCCAATATGTCGGGAGCCGCTTTGTCGGGAGCCAATATGTCCTGAGCCTATTTGTCAGGGGTTAATATGTCGGGAGTCCATTTGTCGGGAGCCTAAATATCGGGAGCCCATTTGTCGGGAGCCTATATGTCGCAAGTCAATATGACGGGAGCCCATTTGACGGGAGCCAATAAGTCGGGGCCCTTTTGACGGGGCTATTTTGACGGGGTCGGTTTGTCGGGAGTCGATTTGACGGGGTCGTATTAACGGGGCCGTTTTGACGGGGCCGATTTGTCCCGGGCCGTTTTGACAGGGCACCGATATTTTGTATGGCGGTATGTGATGTGGGCTACAATTTTAAAACTGCTGTTACTGTCTAAAGACTCGGATACGTGAGTTTTATATGGCCATGTTACATCCAGCATTTTATTAATTTAAAAAAATAATTACTTATTTTAAACGTGCTGGAACGCACAGAAGAGCAGATAACGCACATTTTAAAGATGATAGTGGCGGGAAAATAAGTGGCACAAATATAAAGGGGGGGGGGGGGGGATAGCCTGTATAAATTTGAACAATAATCATAATATAACCAGAGAAATGTGACTTGATAAATCAACTGTTCTGTAAATTATTTTGTTCAAAACGTCTTTTGTTTAGCCTATTATAGTCGAATTTATTTTTTTTAAATTCAATCAACAGCTTTCTTGTTGAATAGCCAAAGCTACGTAACTCAAATAATGTCAATTCATCTTGGGTTGCCTAACGTTGGTCAGTTTAGTTTGTTTGTTTGTTTTTTTTTTTTTTTGTTTTTTTTTTGATGATTTTAGATACCGATGTTCGATAATACTAATAGGCTCTTCCATAAAATAGGTGTGTTTGGTTGTTAGTAGTATTGTAATCTCGACTATTTTATGGTTAGAAATTAGGGATTAATAAGCATATGGTAGGCCTAGGATTTGGGTTAGGGACAGGGTTAGCATCGACATTAGCCAGCAATGTGTGTATTTTAGTTAATTAGTAAATTAATTACCAGTTAGGGCCTACCTAACACCCCTTTTTAAAAGCAGATTCTATTATCGCACACTGGTATAAAATGGCCCCGTTGTTGTTTTTTTTTTAAAGATATTTTTTCCTCGTTAAATTATATGAATAATAATAATAATATTAAATAGGCCAACTGAAAACATTTCATTTTTCATTCATGTCTTTCGCGAGTCTGTGCTTTCTTGGACCTGTGTCTTTCATTTGATTTCCTATCACGTGATGTTCGAGGTTTCTCTAAACGTCGAATCTCCCGCGGTAGATTCAAGACTACCGTGTCACGTCCTGAAGTTTGTCTTGGGAAATTAATTGTTTGGTGTAGGAAGTAGGCGATAATGTTTACATCACGAGAGGGATGGGAAGATTGAATGTTTGCTCAATCAATATTTCGTTAAAAGAATTAATCTTTGCAAAAATTTCATCAAAATTAATTAATAGTAATCTATCAGATCAGCTACACTATTTGTCTGAATTGATTCTTTTATTATACAAATAATAATTATTATTATTATTTATTAATTATGGCAATTAGATCTAACAATAATGTTTTTTTTAATTGTTTCCGATTAATATCAAACCAGTTAGATCTTCAAAGAAATATATTAGATTGAGAATTGTATGTGTTTTACTTTATGAATGTACTGGATAATC